AACTTCTCAGTATTGCAAAGGCTGCATTGTCAGAACTGAGGAGTTTGGCAACTTTTACCCTCATTGAACAGAGCTTGAGGATATTTAGGCACCTAGCAGTACGTTATTTTATATACCCACTGGAATATTTAGGAACAGGCTTTTAAAAGTCCATGCCTCAGTCCTGCTACATATGGGGAAAGACTTTTCATTTTTCCAAAATGTGTCCATATATTTCAGTTGAAAGACATTTGGGGTAGACCATGTTTCTTACTAAGTGGGATTAGTAAGACATTACTTGGAGATTAAGACTCAGTCTGGGATGACTGTAGGGTTTGACTGTAACATACATCATTGTAAGAGAGCCACAGAGTGCTTTGAACTGAACTCTAGAAGTGTTTGAGGTAGGCAGATTTTTCTTTAAAAATCAGAAGTAACTGCTCTTTTGTGTCTTATATGGTCCCGCTGAGGGAACTTTCTCAAAATAGTAATTAGTGATTTTTCTAAAAGAGGATCCCTTTCATGTGTTTGCTCCTGCTAAGGAAAAAGAAAATTCTGGATGGGAAAAGTGTGGTTTGAAGGTTGTCCTGATTTGTATGAAAAAGGATTTCCTGAAATAACCTGAATGACATTTTTCTGGTGCAGAAGGAACTGTGTTTCCTGGTGGGCCAAGTTATGAACAAGTAAGAGTTGTTTTTTTTTTCGGAAATACTCAGTGAAGATCAAGTGTAGACGATGTGCTTATATAGGAGTGCTTGTATGAATTTTGTAACTACACATATGTAAAAGTACATGTCTATGTATACACATGGTGCACTTGTATATGAATACAGTTGCACACTCAAACACTGAAAATAAGTGATTTAAGGCTTCTTCTAAAACCGTGCTTTAGAAGATAAGCCCTCAGAGAAGAAAGACGGTGCGTGCAGCTCTTCCCTTAGAGGCTGGGGTCTTTTGCTCTGTTTGCAGAGCCTTCCTAATGCCCACGGTGTTATGTGGGTTCTTTTCGGTTAAGCTGGTATCAGGAAGCGCAGACTCTGTGGGACCAATTGTATTAGGTTTGGCTAATTCTGCTATAGCAATGTCTTGAGTACTGCTGATGAAAACTAAGAAGATTAAACTCCACATAATCTGGGGATCTTTGTGTAAGTAAATTCAAATTATAATAAACTCTTCAAATCATTGATCTGAGGATCAGTAGGAAGGGAAGAATAACTCAAACTAGCTCAAGTTGCAAATCTTTAGGTCTTTTTTTTTTTTCTTTTTATATATATATATATTTTTTTTCCCCAGCAAAAAAAACCTTAAAGATGCTTTGGAATAATAAAGTTGGTTTTGTTCTGCCTTCTTAAGGGAAAGAAGGTTTGAAAGGAGCTGCACAATGGTGTATCTTCCTCAGTTAGTTAACATGCAGTTGTGTTGGATTTATGGAGGCTATAAAAATGCTAAAGGTCAATGATTGATTATTTTAACGTTACACTTCCATTTCAATAAAGACTGCTTTTGAAATAGAACTCTTAATGGCACTACTTTTTTGCTAAATGTGGATATTGTAGCTTCTGATTTTTGTATTCTTTAGAAATGAGGAAACACATTCATGGTGTTCACTGGGTATGTCCAGATATAAAGGAAACAAGCCAGCAGTCTAAAAGTACCATCTCAAATTGCACAGCTTTTCACCCTATTTTGCATTTACAAATTTGTAACAAATTTTCTGTGATTTTCAGACCTTATGCTGGCAGTAATGTTTCTTGACACTAAGATTGCTTTTCTCTTGTGTAGTTTTTGGTCCCCTTAGATGTAACATGCAGCTGATTAGAAACTGTTCCAAAGGCTTTACGTTGATTCCACATGAGCAGCTTGAATTACTGTTTCTTTATGACATTGGTCTAGAGGGCTGAGTTTTAAGTGTGCTGTCAGGCTTTGTCTGATCTTCATCACACAGAATATGAGAACCACTTATTATCTGGGAAGTGAAGTCTGTAATACCTGTGAGAAAATTAAGATCAGCTTTTTCTCAGCTGTGTTTTGCCATAGCTTCCACAGTTCATCTTGGACCTTTCTTTGGAACAGGCTGGCGGTTCTCTTGCTTGGGTGTCTGGGTGGGTTTCACATCTCAAGCTTAGAGCTTTATAGCTCCATAGCCATGCTCAGAGATTTGAGGTGACATCTACATGAGATGGTTCTGTATTGCACATCTACACCACTGTCATCTTCCAGAATGGAGCAGTCCCATCCAACCTGCCTGTGCTGACAACCAAACCATGACAGGGTATCATTTGGAAGAGTGATAGCTGGGTTGCCCCACAACATTTCAGAAGTGCTTTACCACTGACTGAATTTCAGTGCTCAGGGACATTTTCAGGTATAGTTTTATTAAAGTAGGGATATAGTCTAAGCATGTGTGTGTGTCGGGCAAATTTAGAGCTCAAACAGGAGCTATATATTTAAAAGTGATCAAATTACTTTTCTGAAATATTTTATGTTGATATTATAGAATTAATATAGCTCTTTTGAGGCTTTTAACCTACAGTTCCAGAAGTTTGTCAGAGAAAACATTTGCTTCTGAAACATTTTTACTACAATAAACACATCTTTGGAAGGTAGAGGGGGCTGGTCATCTGTAAGGAGCTCCTGCACTACCAATTGATGAACCAGCCCCTTCTCCAACTTCAGAGGTAAAGAAGCATTTTACTACTAAGGAGAGAAGTCTAATTTTAATACAAATTCTTTTTTTCCCCCTTGCTAAATCTCTGCTGCTGCTTTGAGATGAAATGCAGTGGATTACTGTAATAATACTGTAATAGACCACCTGGACACTGTTAATAGTGAACTTGATGAAATATCAGTGCTGGAATGAATTTAAAATGAGCTTTTTTCTGCAGCAAGTAGAAGGATTTGTATCAGACAATGAAGAGATTTTCTATCACAGATTAGTTAAATTCTATTCAGCTACTTCAGAGGTACTATATGATCTGAATGCTTATTATATACCAACTCTGCATCACCATTTTTTAGTAGCAATTGAGTTAGTTTTTAAACTCTAATGGCCATGAGTGGCGATATGTTATTATGGTGCTTTTCATTACATTATTTAAATTAAATTACTGATTTCATTGTTTTATGAGAGTCTTGAAAAACCTGGATTAGAAAGTTTTAGTTCTTTTGGCAGTCATGAGCCATCTGCTCACAGCCATGATCTCTGGTGGTGTGTTCCTTGATCTAGCATGTCGTACCTAGTGCACATGACATAGCTTGCAAATTATAAAAATGAACAACTCATAAAAGATAACTTTAGTAGCCTCATTTCCAGTTTGCTAGTATGCATTGGGAATTGCTTGTCTTGAGAGATCACATTAATCCCTTTTTGTATGTGGTTCATGTGAAACCGAAGTTAACCAAGGAAAATGTCCTGTGGAAAAATATTCTTTGTCCTGCCAAAATACGGCCATGCATAAAATTCAGGATGTGGTTTGTGTTGCATGAAAATTCAAATGGAACAGAAAATTGGAACTATACATTAATTGAATAATAATTGTCACTTTCTTCACCACTTATGCTAACATCTTTAATTTTAGTGAAATAATATATTATGAATATGGGTATCACGCATTGCTGTTACAATGCTTTTATAATTTAGCAGTAATTAGTATACTACTATTGTACAGTGCAATCGCATTCTCAGATTTATTCTTCATTCAGGTTTGTCCTTTTTCCCTGCTGGTCAAAGAGAAAATAGGTGCAACACTGAAGTTGTGCATGCATTAATGCTGCAGAAGTCTCTATACACATAGAGTCACATTCTGTTTTACCAAAATGTCAAGTAATCTCTATTTAAATTATTTTTCTTCTATTAAAGTTTTGGCTGAATTTGTCTGATTGAATCTATGAACTCTAGATCATAGAAGCACAGAGGTGAGAAAGAAACTCCACAGGTTTCTGTTCCAAGCCCTTGCTCAAAGCAGATCCAATTAGAACAGGTTGCTCAGTGGCTTGCACCATCATGTTATGAATATCTCCAAGGTTGGGTGTCCCACAGCATCTCTGAGCCCCTGTTTCTCTGTTTGACCAATAATAAATAAACAGTTAAATAAATAATGTTCTTAAATCTGTTCACAATTTCCTATATTCCAGCTTCTGTCCGTTGCCTTCCATTCTATTGCTGTGCATTCCTAAATAGAATCCATCACCTCTGCACCCTCCCAGTGCCTTCTCTTTTGAAGACTGAGCAAAATTGCCTCTTAGCCTCTCCTCATTTAGTATGTACTCTAGCCCTCTCAGCTTGTTGTTGGTCTTCACTGGACTTGCTTGAGCATGGCAAAATTTTATAGATAACTTGCTCTGATATTAAAGAAAGATGGTATATATGCTTTAAAATAGTGGTATTCTATTATCTCCAAAGTCCACCAAAATTTTTCTGCATCTTTCTGTTGTCTTTAAGGATTCTCAACCACAACTTACTGTTGTTTAGTTTTATGTTCTGCTTAAACAGTTTAAATGGTAACTAAACTTCAGTGAGTACAGATTGATTACATTTCAAATTCCATTATGCAGAAGAGTGGGTTCATCTTATGTCACTGGGCCAGCCCAGAGGGAGTATTTTTTTGGTGGTTTTCTTTTCCTTTTGAATTCTAAGTCAAAGCATATGGAAGAGCGTGATCTAGCTTTAGAAAGCACACGAGAGTTTTTGATTTTGTTTTTATTTTTGTTTTATAAAATGGAATTGAAATAAAATATACCTACAGCAGTTTTGCCCATAGGATATTTTGTTTGAAGAAAATGGCTTTTTTTTTTAAGGGTGTGAGATAAAGCATGGTTTTTGTTTCTGTAGAAAATGGTACGCTTATAAATGCATATTTTATTGCTAGCACCATATGGCTACATGTATGTTTTAAAGGCCATTCATGCCAGCAGGCTCAAAAAGTGAAGTGTAATGTGGCTTTAAGCTCAGAAAAACTGAAAGCCAAAAATTGAGTTAGTTTTCGTGTTTCAGTGTTGATCTTTGTGTTTTCTCTTGTAAGGAACCTATCTCTGAAGCTGTCAAAGGAGGTAGACCAAGGAGAACCCAGGTATCCTCGTGTTAGCCAGCTGGCTGGCAGCCCATCTGTGGAGTGGCCTTTTACCGGTCTGGAAGAAGGTGGAGGCATTGAATCTTTGCCCTTCAGACTGATGCTGCAAGACTGCACAGCTGTAAAGACATTGCTTCTGAAAATGAAGAGGGTTCTTCAAGAGGTAATCACCCAGTCATTTGTTAAATTAATAGCTTTCAGCATTAATGAGCTAAGCAGCAGAAAAGGGTCAGGAAAGTTTATGGACCTGATGTCTTAATATGGCTGGAATATATGGAATTGATGCAGAAGTATAAATAGTAGTGCCTCAAGATGGTAGAGGTAAGAAAGCTTATACTATAACAGAATTTAACTGATACCACCATCTTGGTGTGCTGAGTATGAAGTTTCTCTTTAGCTTTTAGCAAAAAGAGGGCAGAGGAGAAGTACTAGATCAAAATAAACTCTATAGGTTCCCTCTAGTATTTTAGAGCTTTTCAGTTTTCTCAGTACAGTTGTTAATCAATACAAGGTCTGCAATTAGTTCAGAGGAGAGATGCAAAGAAAAAGAAATGTCCTTTTAAGTTTCAGGACTGAACTTAAAGATTACTAGCCTGAGTTTGTAAATGACTGTTTAAATAGGATTTCATAGGCCATTCTAACAATTTCAGAAGTCCTGACTAGTCCTATCCTGCTGTGTTCTCCTGGTTCCCTCATGGGCTGCAAGTGTTGCTTTGAATTTTTTTTTTTTTTACATCCAGTTCCCTTTAGCATTTTAGAAGAAATCAAATTATTATTAGGCTGGTTTGGGGTTTGGTTTTATTTTTTTGACACTTTCCAGCTCTGGAGATTTGACATGTTTTTTGCAAGCTTTCAGTTTCATGTTAGTGAACTGCAATGTGTGTTGTCTTTGAGACCTACAAAGATATTTTTTTTAAATCTACGTAATTCATAGGATTATAGAATAATGTAGGTTCAGAAGGGCCTCTTGAGGTCCAATCTCTATGCCCAAAGCAAGGTCATCTTAGAATAGGTTACTGAAGGCCTTGTCTACTTAAGTTTTTGGTGCCTTCGTGGGGTTTCTGCGTCATCTCTGGATAGCAGTTCCAATATTTGACTACATCATTGTAATTTTTTTCCCTAAGATATAATCAGAATTTCCCTTGTTGCAACTTCATTGTATGATTAAGTGCTAGTCACTTAACTGAGACTTTGTGGGTTGGTTTTGTTTTTTTTTTTGATTGTTGTTGTTTGGTCTCCTGGGACATTTGCTTGGTTTTTTTTTTCTTTTTTTAATGCTCTCTTTTCAATCATCTGTATATAAATCCAACCAATTGTTGGCCTGTCTGAGAAGGTTTGTCAGAATTTTAGCCTTAATAGTCATCCATTAGTCCTCTTAAATAGCGTGTTTTTTGCTGTATGGCAAGCCTTATGCCTTTCAGTTTCCTTCAGTTCACTAGCAGCTTTATGTATGCTGTTGGGCTTCTTAATGGACTTCTGCTGAAACTGAAATTGAAATCATTAATTCTCCATCAGTTCCTGCTTATGCAATGTCAGAATATAGAGTGCATTTAAAGCTGCTTTTCCCCTGAAAAGGATTTGTAACCATATTATATATGGAAATAAATAATAAGAATTATAATATTACATGACATAGCAGTTGTAACATTGAGCTGTTAACACTAAGAGCATGTTCTGTTGCTTCTAGTGTGAAAAATTCATGTCCAGTTACTAATACATCTTTATGTAACTAATTTTATTTTTTATCTTAATCATTCAGTGTTTTACTTCCTTTGTACCATGTAATTTCCATCCTCCCATTTGACTGTAACGTAGTGTGATTCTGTCCTTTCCTTTTTTTCTTGCCATGCCTTCCTTTATGAAATCAAAATGGCCTTTTTTTTGATTCTACAGGTGGATGTTACATGCGATGCATATATGTATGCGCTGTTATTTACTTCCCTGTTTTTTGGCACCTCTGATATGGAATATTCCAGTAGTAGTACACATTGGTCTAGTATGCAGCTGAACAAAACTTACATGGCTAGAATGAAATGACCAATCTAATGATTATTGAAAACTTTTACTACCTTGAATTATTTGTATTTTGGTTTTAAGTGAGGTATTTGTATAATAGCAGGAATAGAAGTACTGTGCTGTATACATAGGAGTGTACTTTTTAGTAGCCCTGTCTGAGAAATAGCTGACATGTAGTGCAATCTTCCAGTTATACTGATATAAGTGCACATACTAATTCTTGAAACAAAAAATTATTTTTCAAGGTCATGTTAAACTACACAGTTTTCATATCTCCATAAAGAGTTATCAAACCCATCCACTGTACAGTGGGCAGCAGCTATGGTGTAATTGCAGGAAAGTGAAAGAGCAATAACAACAAAATATTCACAAAAAATATATTCTTTAAAACAAATAAAAATTTTAGGAATTATTCCAAAACCAGAATAGGATTCAAAAGACAATGAGTAGCTAGTTTGAACAACCAAAGAGAAGATGACCTTGAAATATATCACAAATTTATATTGGAATGACACAACTTGATTATCTTTAGAAATCCAGACTTTTATACATTTATGTCACTTTTAAATTATTAGCGAAGAGTCCAGGAAAATATAATTCTATCAAATTGATATATTGTGTTGAAGAGTGTGATAAATAAGTCATCTAAGCATATTTGGCAGGCAGTTTCCATGGAGAAGATACCCTACTTCCATTGTAACTAGATGTAATTTCTTTATCCAAAAATCACTTCCGCCCAAATCAGTATTATAAATCAAACTCACAACAGTACTGAATTAAAAGATATAAAAGAAACCCACTTTCCTTACCATGGAATGTTCACATATTTTTAGATGTAGTGGAATATAGGCTGTGGCAGGATTATACGGTATAGAAGTGAAATATTGTTTGGCTATAACAGTATTAAATATGTATATTTATGAAAATAACGTCACATATTTCACACAGTTTAAAAATATACAGAGCATACAGTCTACAAGGGGAAAAATTACGTATGAGTTATCAGGAAAAAAGCTGCAGTATTTCAGTTTCATAGCTGATGTTACCCGTAAAAGAAGAAATTAGTGTTGTCTACACCTCTTTATTGAAAAATAACATGTTAATTGAGTTAAAATACTAGCCCTGTTATTCAGTATAATCCTTCTATTTAAGCACTGAGTACTGCTTCTCAGGAATAATTTAATTATGATCTTCCAAAATGTAATACTAGCTAGTAAAATATATTTCTTTTTATCGTTGCACTTGCTTGTAATAGAAGAATCTAAATGGAAAAAGTGCATACAATACATTCTGTACTGTGCTGCAAAGTTATATAGCTGTGAGTTTAGCTTGTTATTAGTCTTACCGTGAAAAGGGAAATTGAAAACATGGCAGTAACTTGCAAGATTGAGAATGTTATTAGGTAATGTATTTAGTAAGACTAATGAATGATCATTCAATTAAGAGAATTAATTACCAGTTCACTTTTAGTGAAAAAGCCTTGAAAATGTTTACTAATAATTCTTTATAGCTTTGGCCATGTCAGTCTCATAAGGCAGATTGTTCCCTAATGTTTTGAGAATCTCATTGAACAAAGATGAAGAGAGCCTAGAGGACCCTGGCACATGAGCAAACTCAGTGACCCACTAGAAATTAATCCAAAAAGTATGTCTCACTCTATCTGGCAGCTTTTTGTTGGATATTCCATTCCTAACAGATAAATGTGCAATAAATGGAATAATCAAGACTTGGGGTTGCAAAGTTTCATGAAAAACTTCACCAGAGATTAGCGACACAGGCAGCTTGATGAAAGCCACTTCACCATATAAGACAGTACAAGTTGTCATGTAGCTTGTCTGTGATTTACAAGTAGTTCTTGGTCTCTCTTTTCTCTCCATCTCACTTATGTTTATTGAACTGTTTGGGGTTTTTTTTTTCCTCGAAGTCTGCTTGGTGTTGATCTTTTTCTCGGTAGTAACTGCACTCATTCAAAAACAAAAAAGAAAAAAAACAAGCAAACAAAATAAAAAAGAATAATAATAAAAAAAAAAAAAACAAGTCAGGAGTGAGTTGGTTGAGGGCAGGTTTGCTCTCTCCTAAGAAATTAATTTTTCACTTTCTGACTTCAGAAAGGCCATTCTGCTCTGAGCCAGTCTTAAACTCATAATCTGTGTCATCTTTCCTCCCCCATATGCTGTGCTTTCTATGTTTTATTACATTTGTGGCTGCTAATTGATTGCTTATAGTCAATGAGCTTCTAAAATTTAGACTGCAGCTTCTTCCTCACTTATTGCTATCAACAGTAATGAACATATAATGCCTCTTTCCCAAACAATATATGGGCTTTCCTGTACTCTTCCAGGTGAGACTGAAATTATTTCCATCCATTACCTTTTTTATGGTTTGAGTTATAGCTTACTGAGGCAATGTTGAAGGCTGGCTAATTGAGAGGACATTTAACGGCTTTGCCTTTGTGGAAATCATTGGTAGAACATTTTAGGCAAAGACATATGAGGAAAACTTGTATGGTTTTGGTATTGTGCCTGGCAAAAAAAAAAGGGGGGTCTTTGTGCTGAAATAAACATAGTGGAAAAAATACAGCTATTTTAGGAAGGAATCCATTTAGTCAGTGGTGTAATGGGGTTTTGTTCAAACTTTAGATATTGAGATGAATGTCCCAGTAAAACCAAAATCTCATCCAAATTTAGGCTTATTTCTACAGGTCATATTTCCCCTGTATTCTTTATGAAATATATAGGTTATCAAATACATAATTCTACTTTCAGATTTTTTTATGAGGCTATTAGAAGTGACCTTACTGGTTGCTAATCTAGACAATTAAGATACGTTGACTGTATGTTTGTGTAATTTGGAACGTAAATTATTCAGTGCATGGCCATGCTTCTTTCGCGTTCTGCAAAACACCATGCAGGCTGTGGAGCTTTAGAAATTGAAGCTAATTACTACAATTAATTAGCAATAGGGATAAGTCATTCTGGACATATATTGCATACTGTGTTTTACTAATTAATCATTTATTTTACTGTGGGAAATTGCAGCTGTCTGTGGCTGTCATTAAAACTTAATGTGTCCAATACAGTGTTTTTAGATTACACTTGAAAAAATGACAGTGGCCATGACAGTTGCCTGAGACTTGTAGGACAAAGT